TCTCGCGCCCGGAGCGCCAGCCCGAGTCGGCGGCGCTGGGCGGCCCGGGCCCCGGGCTGTGCTGCTGGGTGTCCGTGTTCTCCTGCCTCAGCCTCGCCTGCTCCTACGTGGGCAGCCTCTACGTCTGGAAGAGCGAGTTGCCCAGGTGTGGGGGCTGCGCGCGCGGCCGGAACCCGCGCCCCCGTGAGGCGGGACTGCGGGCGGAGCTTGGGCGAGTCGAGGGCGGGGCTGCGCTGACTGGAGATGGCTGCGGGCCCTTTGAACTTACTGCCCCCTCCGTAGGGACCACCCCGCCGTCATCAAGCGGCGCTTCACCAGTGTCCTGGTAGTGTCCAGCCTCTCACCCCTCTGCGTGCTGCTCTGGAGGGAGCTCACAGGCATCCAGGTGCGAAAGAGGCGGGGCAGAGGGCAACAGGGGAGTTAGCGAAGGGGTCTTGCTGCAAAGGACCAAACTGATGCCCCCTTTCCTGTGGCTCAGCCAGGCACATCCCTGTTCACCCTGATGGGTTTCAGGCTGGAGGGCATTTTCCCAGCAGCACTGCTGCCCCTGCTGCTGACTATGGTGAGTGTTCCTGCTTTATCCTTCCTTCTCTGTTCTTTACTATTAGCATCATGCACCTTTCATGGTCGTTTTTCCCGTTTTGATTGTACGTGGGTTTTGGCTGATGGTAGGCAGGAATGGTGAGGTGGCCCTAGGCCCCTTGGGAATGTATGGATGAGAAATCATGACTGAAGCTTGAGCCCTCATAAGGCAGGCAAGGGCAAAGGTCTAAGGCAAGGGCAGTAGATCATGGTGAAAGTTTTTCCTTTGATGTTTTCCTTTGTTTTCACCCCCAGATCCTTTTCCTGGGCCCACTGATGCAGCTCTCTATGGATTGCCCCTGTGACCTAGCAGATGGGCTGAAGGTTGTCCTGGGTGAGTCCTGGAGCCTGGGGGGAAAATTAGACACAGGTAGTTCTGAATAATGGAGAAAGGGAACCAGTGGGTTCATGGTGCAGTGTAGATGTGAGATTTTAGACATCATTTCTCTGGATATTTCCTTATCAATAACATCGGAGCACAGAGCTGGTATCCTATAATGGTAGTTTCTGATGTCCCAGGAGGCACCAAGGACCCCAGCAGTACTTAATGCGGATCAGAAAACAACGTCCCCCAAACCAAAACTGGTCTTGATTCAGTTTTGATGTCTCCATCATTTACTGCCAGGATACCCTGTTTTAGTTACTAAAGCCTTCACTTTCAGTCATGTCAGGACATTATTGGGTTTGACACAAAGTTTTTCTGTTTCCCTTCCCATCTCTGTTCTTAGGAGCATTGATGTCTAACCTAGTTTTGCCAGGGAAAAGTTTTGGAAGAGGGACTGTTGGACCCCTCTAGGGTCTCATTGGTCAATGGCTACTCATTGCTTGTCCTCAATTCCTCCTCTAGCCCCCCGCTCCTGGGCCCGCTGCCTCACAGACATGCGTTGGCTGCGGAACCAAGTGATTGCACCCCTGACAGAGGAGCTGGTGTTCCGGGCCTGTATGCTGCCCATGTTAGCACCATGCACAGGCCTGGGCCCTGCTGTGTTCACTTGCCCACTCTTCTTTGGGGTTGGTGAGTCTATCCAACAAGGTCCTCCCGAGATGTTCCCAGCATTAAGAGATGAGAATGAGGTTTGGGGTGAGGGGCGGGCCTGGAGGAAAGACTGGGAGGGATGTGATATGGTTCTCACCTTCCTCCCAGCCCATTTTCATCACATTATTGAGCAGCTGCGTTTTCGCCAGAGCAGTGTGGGGAGCATCTTCTTGTCTGCAGGTGAGTCCCAGAGAGCTTGCCTGGGGCAATCCTGGGTTGGGGTGTATAAGGGTAGTCCTGATAGCCACTCTAGAGGAACTCTTGGGAACAGAGAGCTATAGCACTGGAGAAGTCACCAGCCCTGGGAGTTGGGGTGCAGAAGAGTAGGCAGCCACTGTCCCAGGGGAAAGGGGATGGCTCTGGCTGATGGGTGTGCAGTGCTGGGGCAAGAAGAGTATGCAGGTGTGGTCACTCGTGGCCTCCCCGTCTCCAGCGTTCCAGTTCTCCTACACAGCTGTCTTCGGTGCCTACACTGCTTTCCTCTTCATCCGCACAGGTTGGTCCTCAGTCTCTCATGGGTCTCCGGGGTCTTGGGCCCACAGGAGTGGGTGGGAGAGTGGGAATTTACGTTTGTTCTAGGAGTGACAGGTTTCTTCTACTCTAGTCCTGGGGACAGGCTGAACTCAGCTTGTTGAGGTCTGAGAGATAGAAGAAAGCAGAGACTACACTGTGTGGGTGGGTGCGTGGGGCATTGATCTCCTGTTTCAGAGGATGAGGGTCACTAGCCCTGGAAGGGCGGGAGGAGGTGGTGGACTGCTCTGTGAGCTCTCTCTCTCCTCCTTAGGACACCTGATTGGGCCAGTTCTCTGCCATTCCTTCTGCAATTACATGGGATTCCCTGCCGTGTGCGCGGCCCTGGAGCATCCGCAGCGGCGGCCACTGCTGGCAGGCTATGCACTGGGTGTGGGACTCTTCCTGCTTCTGCTCCAGCCCCTCACGGACCCCAAGCTCTACGGCAGCCTTCCCCTTTGTGTGCTTTTGGAGCGAGCAGGAGACTCAGAGGCTCCCTTGTGCTCCTGACCTATGCTCCAATACACTCCTATGAACTCTCATGGGCTCCCCAGCCCCTCCCCACCAAGGGGTACTATGGGATGGGGCCTGGCAGGGGTCCCCGAGATCTCAGGAATTTTTGTAGGGGATTGAAGCCAGAGCTAGTTGAATCCCAGGGACCAAGAGAAAGGAGCAGATATCCAAAGGGTGCAGCCCCTGTTGAAAGGGGGTTGAGGAGCAGCTGGGAGTGAAGGGACAAAGGGTAGGTGCCAGGAGCCATGCACTCCCTTCCTCACTTTGGACTGCTGCTTCTCTTAGCTCCTCTGTCCTCCCCCCCTCTGCCTCTGAAAAGCTGCTTGGGAGTTTTTTATTTATAAAACCTCCCTCCCAACTTCCCAGGGTTTTCTCATTGTGTTTTTGCATCAGGACTTTGTATTGGGATATTAAAGAGATTTAACTTGGGTAACATGGCCTTGGACCTTTGGGGAATCTGTCTGAGGTCTTGGGGAGGATTCCAGACAGCTCCTGAGTGGGTGGGAGAGTGGACGCTGAACACTAACCTCTGGGTGGTTCTGCCTGGCAGGGAGTTTCCTGGAGTTGGGGATGGGTTGGCCAGGGGTCCTCTGCCTTAGCTACCAGAGTCAGAGTGGAACCCATGGTCCTAACCCCAGTGATGGGAGCTTCCAGCCTCACTATGGGAGGGTGGAGGACCAGCCTCCACCTGGACCTCCACAGGGTCTACCAGCCTCAGTTTATGTAAAAGGAAACAGGTCAAAAATGGGAAAAGAACCTACTCTAAGTCACCCAGGATCAGAGGCTTTGCTGGGTTTCTCCACCTCATACCTCTGCCGCAGTGTTTGGCCCCTGGAGGATCCCAGAACAATGGCTGAAGCTCTGAGAATAGAGTAACTCCAGGTTCATTCTTGGAACCTACCTGCTGCTCATTTTTAGAATGGTGTTTGTTCCCTGACCAGGATGTCTTGATGTCTTTTGTTACTGGGTTGTCTTTTTTTTTTTTTTTAAGAGGTTTTTACCTTAGGGTGTGTGTGCTCGCCTGAGAGAGACCGACAAAGACTGTGAGAGAAATAAAAAAAACCCAAGGGGGAATGGCCATGCTACAATCCCTTCTCCCAGAATCTTGGACAAACATGCACACGTGCCTGGCATGCTTTCCCCAGTGATGGGAGCTTCCAGCCTCACTATGGGAGGGTGGAGGACCAGCCTCCACCTGGACCTCCACAGGGTCTACCAGCCTCAGTTTATGTAAAAGGAAACAGGTCAAAAATGGGAAAAGAACCTACTCTAAGTCACCCAGGATCAGAGGCTTTGCTGGGTTTCTCCACCTCATACCTCTGCCGCAGTGTTTGGCCCCTGGAGGATCCCAGAACAATGGCTGAAGCTCTGAGAATAGAGTAACTCCAGGTTCATTCTTGGAACCTACCTGCTGCTCATTTTTAGAATGGTGTTTGTTCCCTGACCAGGATGTCTTGATGTCTTTTGTTACTGGGTTGTCTTTTTTTTTTTTTTTAAGAGGTTTTTACCTTAGGGTGTGTGTGCTCGCCTGAGAGAGACCGACAAAGACTGTGAGAGAAATAAAAAAAACCCAAGGGGGAATGGCCATGCTACAATCCCTTCTCCCAGAATCTTGGACAAACATGCACACGTGCCTGGCATGCTTTTCAACCTGTTTGGTCCGAGACTTGAACCACGATCAGCCGTGTGGGAGTACAGCGGTGCAGCTGCTACGCCACCTGGCCCCCAACTGTTGAAAGAATAACTTTTAGGTCCTGTTTCAGACTCAAGGGGTCATCCCCAGTTGCCCGCCCTGAGTCTGTTGAAGAGAAGGAAGTGGATGTGCGGTCACAACCTAGGATGTCCCCAGGTTGGCCATGACTGAACTCCATCCAGCTGGATCTGAAGGGCCGCCTCACACAGCCACACACCTTCCTTGGAGTGTTTTCCCCTAGCCTTGTAGCAATTGTTGAGGGAAGAGGGTGAACGTGAGGTCTGTTTTAGTGAGTATATTTGGTACCCTGGGATCCAAGAAGGAAGAGCCCCAGGCCCACAGCTGTGACTTCCCCTCCCGAGAGATTAGGTACCGGTACCCCAGACACTAGGCAGACAAGCTCTCGGGTGCCAGGGATGTACTTTATGCCTGGGACTCTTGGGCGTCAGAGGGTCTGGACTCTGTCCTTTACCTCAGAGTCCAGTTTCACCTCCCCCACACTAGCAGGCAAAAAAACCACAATGCAGGTAGGGTTACTGTGTTTGTGCAGGTGAGGGATTCTCTTAAAGGCTAATTCTGGGTACAAGCAGGGTTAGAACCCTCGATCCAGGGCTCCTCCTAACCTCTCACCATCCTAATGCCCAGAGTGCTCACGAGTAATCTCAGGCATATCACCAGTCCCAAAGGTCTCACCTGGTGCCCAGAGGAGGAAGGTTGGCCCTGGGTTTTAGAAAGCAGACATATGGCTGGGAAGCAAGTCAACAGGCTGAACTTGATCCCTCTCTGCCTCTTACTACAATAGTTAAAGAATTTTGGCTAAGTCATTTAACCTTCCCCTGACTTCTGTGTTCAAAGATGGATGAAGGTTAACTTCCTGGGACTACCGGGTATTAAGTACTTAGGAAAGACTCCACGCCCCAAGCAAGCTCAGTAACAGCTACTTGTTTGGGGGTGTATAGACAAAAGGCACTCAGCAGTGGCTTAAATCAGGGCCATGACTGTTACTCTCAGTACTTTCTAAGGAAGAAAATACAACTGACTTGCCCCCTGCCAGCCCATGAGGGGTTTGAGAAGCAGCTCTGCCCCCTCTGGTGAGTGATGCCAGGGGTGGGATGGGCTGCACAGGACCCGGTGTGGAGGGCATGGGAAAGCCAGTTTTATTGAGCAAGTTTTCTAGGACCTGGAGTTTAGATCTTCTCCCCACCAAGAGGTAGAACCCCTAAACCTCTCCACCAGGTGCTAGGACTACTGCCCCACCACATGTAGTCTTCAAGCAAGGAGAGAGCCCCTATTTGGCAAGAGATGAGTATGTGAGTGACTGTCCACCAGTGGGGAGAGGACAGACGGCTGAAGGGAAGGGGCAGCTGCAGGCGGTGTTTCTTCTGTCCTGCTGCGGACAGGACTTCCAGGGTCAGTCTTCCTGTCTCAGGCATCTGCTAGCCTGTGCCTGCCCTGGCAGCACAGCTTCATTGAGGCTTGGGGTTGGGATGACCAGGCTGCCAGACTAGGGCAAGATCACTCAATTTCCAGAATGAGATCATCGCCTTCCAGTGTCATGTCCTTGGTCACATGGACCTTGCGGACAGTCCCCTCCATGGGCGAGGTCACCACAGTCTCCATCTTCATGGCACTGAGCACACACAGGGGCTGGCCCTTGGCCACCTTGGCTCCTGCTGCCACCTTGATGTCTATCACCTTCCCAGGCATGGGCGCCCCAATCTGGCCCTTCACGTCCTTCAGGGCCTTGGGGTGGAAGTGCATCTCCTGTAGACAGAGTAGAGAGAACATGAGACACAGCCTGGCCCATCCCTACAACCTGGCCGGCTCTGGGAACAGGTTCTCTGTACCTTCATGGCTTGTGTGTCCTTGACCAAGATGGACCGTAGCTGCCCGTTGAGCTCAAAGAAGACTTGCCTCTGGCCGGCCCGGTTCAGGTCACTCATAGCCAAGGCTTTAATGTGCAGCGTTTTGCCCCGTTCCAGTTCCACCTGCAAGGGTGGGCGGAGACTCAGGGTTAGAGGCCAGGTCCAGGGAGAGCAGTCCCCTGATCCTGGGTCTTGGCTCCTCACTTGAAAAGGCCTAGCTAGTCTCAAAGGTCCTTTCTCCTCCAAAACCTGCAGGGCTGCTAACAGCCAAGCCACAGTCTGGAGCTTAGGGCAGGGGTGCTGGTGTCCCTGTGGATGGCAGGAGCACGAGTGCTGCGGTGGACTGTGGACAAGTTCCAGAGCTACTGACCTCAAACTCCTCTGCAATTTTGGGTCCCTGCAGAAAGAGGCGGGTATTGAGGCTATCCAGGGGTCCAAAGGTGGAAGTGAAGTCCTTAAAGTGGGCAAAGACGTCAGGGTACATGGCTGCTGACAGCACGTCCTCGGGGGTCACCTCTTCCCCATGCCGCTCTATCAGCTCCTTCTCCAGCGCCTTTAGATCAAGGGGAGGAAGGGAGGCTCCTGGCCGCCCCTCCACTCTTGGCAGATCCTTCAGCACCTGGGGAGCAAAGCACAGTCAGGCCTGATTCCTGCGGCCAACCCCCATTCTCACATCACACTAGGCCTTCCTTACCTTAGAGCGAAGGGGTTCAGGAAAGCCCCCGTGAGGGATGCCAATGTAGCCCTGCAGGAACTCCACCACGGAGCGGGGGAAAGATAGCTCTTCTGCCTGAGCTTCAGCCTCTGCCCGGCTCAACCCGTTTTGCACCATGAACTGGGCCAGGTCCCCCACAATCTTCGAGGAGGGTGTCACCTGAGAAGGGTCCCTGGAGGTTAGACCAGGCACCTGTGGAGGCCCAGAGGCAGGCTGTGTATCAAGTAAACACACTGGGCTTGGCTCACCTTGATGAGGTCACCCAGCATCTGGTTCGCCTCCACATAAGCCTTTTTGACCTCCTTGAACTTGGAGCCGAGCCCCATACTATGGGCCTGGAAATGCAGGTTGGTGTACTGGCCCCCTGGGATCTCATTCTCGTACACATCCGAGTTGCCAGACTTCATGGTGGCCGTGCAGTCAAAGGCCGCATACAATCCCCGAGCCCCCTCCCAGTACTCACTGTAGTCAAACACACGCTCCAGGGGCACCTCTGTAGGGAGGCCAGAGGTGGAGGAGGGCTCAGAAACATGTTGAGCCCCTGGTGCTCCTCCTACCACCCAGGAACAGCTCAGGTCCCATCTCAGACTTGGGTGATAGAAGACAAGGCCAGGGTAGGACATATAGAATCTGGGTTTGTCAGCCTCTGGTGAGAGGGGGGAGGCTGTGGCTTTTGAAAGGGATATGGCCATGGGCTGCTGTTCTAACCTGTGTCCAGGGGGGTCCCTCTGGTACACGCCACCAGGGCCCCCATGCTGGGTTGTGACGTCATCCCAGACATGGATTCAGCTCC